ATAGGATACGATCAGACAATATAAAATAAGATGAGATAAGATAATTATGATAAAATGAGGTACAATAAGATATGATTAGACCTGAGATGACAAATAAGATAAAAGATAAGACCTAGAGACACAGACAAGCACACAAACTGATATATAAACATATAGACAGACACAGACAAACAAACAGACAAACTGATATATAAACATACAGACAGACAGACACCAACAGACACGAACACACAAACAGACAAACTGACATATAAACATACAGACAGTCACAGAGAAACAGACAAACTGATATATAAACATACAGACAGACAAACAGACACAAACAAACAAACAGACAAACTGATATATAAAGATACAGATAGACAAACAGACACAAAACAAACAAACAGACAAACTGACATATAAACATACAGACAGACAAACAGACACAAACAAACAAACAGACAAACTGATATATAGAGATACAGACAGACAGACACCAACAGACACGAACACACAAACAGACAAACTGACATATAAACATACAGACAGACAGACACAAAAACAAACAGACAAACGCACAAACAGACAAACTGACATATAAATATACAGACAGACAGACACAAAAACAAACAGACAAACGCACAAACAGACAAACTGACATATAAATATACAGACAGACAGACACAAAAACAAACAGACAAACGCACAAACAGACCGACTGACCTGGAGAAGCACAGTGGTTCCCCAACAAGACACGAGAGCACCCAGAGGCCATGGTGAAGGAGTCTAAGTCTGAAAGCCTGAAAAGGAAAGAAAAATGTAATGATTTTACGCACTCCTTGACTCAATTTAGGTTATTTGATTGGTCGCTTTTAAGGACAAGCAGGCTAACCCAGATTTCTGGGGCTTCCAGACACCTGAACCTACACCAAAAGTGGGCATAGCTCTACCTATAGGAGAAGTTTGGTTTCATTGGTGTGTATATTTGTTTCGTTATAGAAAAAACACTCCTTGTCTTTAAAAGAAACTGAACAAGGGGCAAAAACGTTATCTTCGATTTTCTCAAAACAGATTTTTTCGGGATAGCCCCTTCGTGCTTAAAAGCCACCATTTAGGGAGTAGGCTGCCTTGACCATGCTAGTCAGGGCTAGCCCTCCAGGATGAGTGAGGTACGAGGCAGAAGATATTCAGAGACGTCTCCGGCGAGCATCCAGGAAATATTCGAAGCCGCACTCCCGCACACCGATGCACTGCTTTGGGGGGTCAAACTGCGTATTATTTGCTGCAGATCACACATATAGCCACTAAAACCGTCGCAAGTCAATAACTTTCAAGAAGATTTCAAACCTAACTGCAAAATATCAAATTACTGGTAAAAAGAGATG